TGGTAAAAGACCTTCATGTATTACGGTGTATCTTATAGAGATGTATCTTGTAGAGTCCATTTTTACATGTATCCCCATTAACATGAGGCAGGGATCACAGGACTGATCATGCTTGGGGAAATAAGAGTTGTGTAGTTTGAATGCAGTGCGTATAAAGATGTGAATATACTCTTTTATGGATGGGTGCGTGTCTGTCTGTCTAGATACACATAGGCACACTGATGTGTATGTTTATATGTATGTCTATATTAATGTTAGTAAAGGTCAGAATTTGTTTTTCAAACTTTGATAACTGTGAATGGAATGGGGTGGCCCTCTGTATGTCAGGCCAGTCTTAGGCAAAAATTTAACTGTCCTATACAATCTCTCCTTGTTCATTAACCTTACCCTTATCCCCCTCCCTCCCTCCCTCCCTCCCTCTCTCTCCCTCTCTCCCTCTCTCTCTCTGTCTCTCTGTCTCTCTGTCTCTCTGTCTCTCTCTCTCTCTCTCTCTCTCTGTCTCTCTGTCTCTCTCTCTCTCTGTCTCTCTCTGTCTCTCTCTCTCTCTCTCTCTCTCTCTCTCTCTCTCTCTCTCTCTCTCTCTCTCTCTCTCTCTCTCTCTCTCTCTCTCTCTCTCTCTCTGGTTGTCTCTCTCTCTCTCTCTCTCTCTCTCTCTCTGGTTGTCTCTCTCTCTCTCTCTCTCTCTCTCTCTCTCTCTCTCTCTCTCTCTCTCTCTCTCTCTCTCTCTCTCTCTCTCTCTCTCTCTCTCTCTCTCTCTGGTTGTCTCTCTCTCTCTCTCTGGTTGTCTCTCTCTCTCTCTCTCTCTCTCTCTCTCTCTCTCTCTCTCTCTCTCTCTCTCTCTCTCTCTCTCTCTCTCTCTTTCCCTATTCCTCTCTTCCTTCTCCCTCTCTACCTTGTCACTTCTCCCTCCTCATGTGTTCTTGCTCATATGTGCGTGTTTGTTTGTGTGTGAGTTGTTTGGTCTGTTTGTGTAAATGTGTGTATGTCTATATTTGCCTATGCTTTTATACATTCTTGTGTGTGTGTGTGATTGTGGTTGTTTGTGAGTGTTTTTGTTTCTGCTTTCACAGGAGGGTTAAAGGCAGCCCATGCTTGGAAGGTAGACTTCCCCATTATTTTATGATACTAATTTTGTAAATACAAGTATCCATACATGGGTTTCCTCTCTGTTAATATGATTATTGGGCAATTGAAAGAAGAAAATGCAGGGAGATGCACTAGAGGCTTGCATATAGTGGGAGGGATCAGGCACAAGACGAGATAAATCCTGGGAGGTGATTTTTTTTCCCTCTTCTGTTGATGGCAATGCTTCCTACAATATCTCTCTTAAGTTTATTTTATTCATTTATTTATGATGTTTTGTTCTATTTACAAAACAGAGACTTGATCATGTCTTGATCTTTTGTCTGTATCATGTTATGTTGCATTGATATGAGTCTGCATTTAAAGGAGGCACTTACACTGACTGCTGCATTCTTTCCCTTCTGGCTTTGCCCTCCCTAGCCTAGGAAATCCATTATTCCCAATTTTAGCTCCTCTTTTACCATCATGAGTGTCCAAGTACAACTTCACTTCTATCTAGAATGTATGTATATATATTCTCATAGCTGAAGCACCCTTCACCTGTCCTACCAACTGAAATTCCTGGGAGTTTAGTAGCATAAAGTTCTTGCATCCTCACACTTGGCTATAGGCAGAAAAGTTGCCAATAGAACAAACCTGTGAACGTTACCATTGAGGTGATATGGGATGGACTCTGTTCAGTTGTCTACCTGTCTGCCTGTCTGCCTCCTTGGACCCCCTCTTGTCTTGCTCGTACCCAAGAGGACTGTGGGATGCCGAGCATGTAACCTAATGGAGCTGCCTACACTCTGGTATACTTCTAACGTCCACCAGGTTCCTCATTGACAGCGCGATTAAAGACTTCCATGGTGAGGAACTCCACAGCCTCCCACTGCTGGCTCCCCGGCTGTACTGACCACAGTTTTTTCAGAGAGTGAGTCGACCCACATCCATTTGGGAAATAGAATCTGTACCTCCTCTTTTTTTCTGTCTTTCTTTTCTTTTCTATTGTCCAACTTTTCTCTTGCTTCTGGGTGCTTCCTTGCAATGTATCAGTGAGTTGTCTCTTTTATGTTTTTTCTTTCTTTCTTTTCTTTTTTGTAGTTATATCTTTAAATCCAAAAGTGTCTTTCATTATTTCTTGAATTCAAGAGCAATAGTTGTCTTTTAGAGATTTCTGATGCCCAAGTATTTTTATATAGCATACAAAATTCCCTGATTTGTTTCTATTTTATTTTTTATTTTCCGTCTTTTTAAATTATTATCCTAAAGCTTTTAAGGTGTTTAGAAATTCACACCAGCACTCTCGAAGCAATTTGCCCTGTATCTCCCTTCCCCTTTTTCCCACACCCAGTATAGCTGTGTCTTGAGAGAAATTCTTCAATAAATTCTTCATGTTGCTGTGTATGTCTGATCCCCTTTTAAATAACCAGAAAGCAAGAAAACAGATACCCTAGTTCAACATTAACTACAAGTCAGAAGATTTAGGAAACTGGTTATTTCTTTGTACATCATAATGAACAAAGTGTGAGATCCAGATGTCTTAGGAAGCAATTTTGTTCTTAGAAGCATTACAAGCCCTCCAAAATATGCATATATAAACATTAAAACACATGGAAAGATGTGGAATGTATAATGTCTGATAGGTAAAGTAACCCAAGAAACACCTACATTCCATAACTGACCAAAAAGTTGTTTATTGGATTTTTCTTTTTCTTTTTTTTTCTTTTCTTTTTTTTTCTTCTCTTTTTCTTTTCTTTCTTTATCAGTTGTTGCCTCTGTTCATGTATGTATTTTGCCCATAAAGATACTGTGGACCCATGTTCCTATAATGTTGTAAAGCAATGGGGAAGCAGTCTTCTTCACAAAGCCACCTTTGACTGTAGCAGCAATGGGGAAGGAAAGCATGACATTGTAGGAAAGAAGGTTTCAAGCTCCGAAGAATTTGAAGCCTCCTTTGGAATGAAGATTGAGGTGCCACGTGTCTCGGTTACGTACGTGGGGGGGTGTGAATGCGTTGTTGCGAGTGGAGGAGTGCCTTTACAGTTTGTCTGCAGTGTGTGAATATTTGCGGTGATTTTTACTGGTACTGTAGATTAAGCCGTCTCATCTAGTTTTAAGTTCTCTCGACTGGTCTGTATTTGAGCAACTAAGGCATTAGTTCATGAGTTTGTTTTCAATGCTGTGTTTCAAGACCAGGAAATAAGTAGCAATAGTATGCAACATGTGAAACATATGTGTGTAAGTCCAACTGTACTGCTGTAGCTGTGGTAATGTAGTATAGAAAAGTAGATTATTATTTTTCTTTCCTTGGGTATTCAGGAGTACTGTGGTGGGCCTGTGGAGTTACCTACAGATGGGCCTCTTCTTGCCCAGTGATTTTTTCTTTATCTAATGGAAAAGAAGAGAAAAGGGTGCTCATTCTGCTCTGCTGTGTGATACATCCATTTAATAAAAGTGCTAATCAAAATTTCACATAAATTTTAATCAAAACAGGGACCTGTTCAATCCTTCTGCTGGTAACTCTCAATCCATCAGCAGTAAGCTGGTACTTGGTTTTACTCATTTAAGGATACGATAGGATAGTCTATTGTTTGTATTTTATTTCCAAAATATGCAAGAAGTACTCATTTACAAATATTATAAAGGGATGATGAGGGCCCCTTTTGTGTGGCAGACAGCAAACTAGAAGCACCTTTTTCTCTTTTTTTCCATAGGGGTCGAGGTCCAAAGAGGGAGTGCGTTGGATGTGTAATGTGTGCCTCAAGAAATTCATTTCACGGCCGGCAAGTTTGGCTCATGTGGCCACACACATCATCTGCAACTTTGAGCCCAAGGCAGTTTTGATCCATGTAGATAGAGATGGACAAATCCTGCCTAACCAGGTCACAGGATTAGAAACACTGGAAAGAAATCAGCACAGCAGAATAAGAAGGAATAGCTTTGAAGATGATAATGATGAAGAGATGGAGGCAGAAGAGGAGGAGGGGGAGGAGGAGGAGGAGGAAGAAGAAAACAACAACAATGAAGAGGAGGATGTTGATGTTGAAAGAGTGGATGATGGCGAGGAAGATAACAATGAAGTGGATAAAGTGCATATTAGTAATAAGTCACAATTCCGAAGGGAGGGGAAGACCGTGGAGCAGAGTTCCATAGTAGGTAGAAGAAAAAATAGAAAAGGTGTTGCTAGAAAGATAAAGCCAGAAAGTGTAGTATATGAGACAGAAAATGAGACGCTGTTGAGACTACAAGGTGCTTCATGTAGTTCCAGTGAGGATGAAAAGGAAGTTCGAAAAATTCATTCATCCAAGACTATTTCTCCTGTAAAAATAGAAAAGGGAGATAGTTCACATGTATCCTCTTATTCTAAAGTGAAAAAACAGGGGAAAGTTAATACTAGTGAAGGTAAAAAAATAAAAACAGTTACAAGCAGTAAAGAGAATAAAACAATGAATATAAAACAGCAGAAAGTGGTACTAAACCAGTACTTATCCAAAACAGAACTTGCTGGGCGAAATAAATCAAAGGAAAATTCACCGAAAACGGACTTGACAGTCCAGCCATCAACTTCAACTTATGAAGGTTCAGCGACAAATAGTTCCACGAAGAAACCTGAGCTCAAAAGTACAGATTACTCGAGAAACCAAAGTAGTCCTTTAAGAGCAAGCTGGAAAGATCATTCCGAGGAGGAAGTACACAAGGTAGCAACGCAACTCCGACTCTTTGAAGAAGACTGGAGCAGGAGTGAGTCATCAACCTCTGACAGTGAGGGTGAGGAAGACCAGTTGGATGAGAGAAATTCCAACGAGGGAGGTGAGAACAGCGAACCAGAACAAGGGAGCAGCTTGGAAATTGATGTAGTACCAAGCATGAGGGCAAAAAGTAAATGTACTTATGAAGTAAAAAACATAGACAACTTGCTAGAAAGGAGTCAGGATGCTATTGATATAATATGTGAAAAGAATTACCTAGCAGAATCAAGATTAAACAGAGAGAAGGTGATCCCTGTTCCTCCTTTGGGGGAAACTTGTTTACCAGGTCCAAGAAATGCAAGTGAGGATCAAGGCAGTGAATGTATCAGATCCCCTGCACAGGAAGAAGAGGAGGTGATGCCAAGATTGACAGCCATTTGGGCAAATGAGAAGGACAGCATGTCTGAAAAAGACATTTTAAGTAAAGGTAAAAGTAAGGAGACTGGGGATCCTTCATACTCCTTAAGTCAACCAGAGACAACAGAATTCAAAGTAAAGGCAGAAGAAGAAAAGGAAAAAGTAGAGGAAGAGCCTTCCACAGTGGTTGAAGAATTGCACAAAAAAATGGTTACAAAGCCAGGATGTCAACTAGACAGGGAAGAGGGTACAAACAAAGACAAAATTACCATTAAGGAAGAAATTACGCTTAAGGAAGAGCCCCTAATTGACGAAGATCAGGTGGAGTTGTTCCAGGTCAGAGTAATGGTTTCAGAAGAGGACATCAAAAAGGAAGATGAATCAGAAAGTCCAAAGAAAAAAGAAGGTACGGGCATGGAAACAGTTGTGATAAGTGATGATGCAGATGTAGCTGAAAGACCCATGGCAAGTTCTGGTGGTTGGAATCTCCTGGGTTTTGATTTACCAGTTGATGAAGTCAGAGTTGAGGATGTAAAGGATGAGATTGAAAAACAAGTTGATGATGGAGAGAGTGTTACAGGTTTGGGTAGTTCATGCAGAGTGCCAGCGTCCATTGTTCAGACTACCGTAACGAGTATGACCTCAAGAGCTAATGCGACAAAATTGGCTTCAGCACCTGTTCTGCACTCCAAAGCCTATAATTTATGTGAAAAGTCAGACGGAACATCCAAACCACAAACCGAGACACCAAAAGTGAAAGATGATACCTCTTCCCAAGTCAAAGCACCTGAAATGTCTGGGAAATCTGAGAAATTGGCAGTTTCTACATCCACTGACAGGAAACCTTTCAAGACAGTGACCTTAGTGAGACCAAAGCATATTTCAGCTTCAGGTTCCAGGTCAAATGTACCATTTTTCAGTAAGTGTAGAAACACTTTTCCAGCTTCAAAGACAAGTGAGAGTGAAGTAGCCAGTGCAAGCCGAGAAGTATGTTCAGATTCAGTTAGCTTACCAAGCACTTCTTCAGAATTAACTAGTCCATTAATAGCATCAAACAGTCAGACGAAGCCCTGCCCTGCACCTGCAATCAGTCCTATTTTAGCTAAAAACCCTGAAATAGATAAAGTATGTAAACCCCCTGAAACTTTTGCAACATCAACCAAATCCTCTAAGTCCCATCAAGATGAGAATAAAACAGAGAGTAAAACCAAGTTGGCAGGTGACTCTCCCTACACTAAGATGGACTCAGCATCTGGAGAACAAATTCAAGTTTCTTCAGGTTGCCCACAGCAGCTCAAAATGCAAAAGGAAGCCACATCACCGACATCACCTTGTACCATTGCCCATTCTATATCTACCCTACAGACCCATGTCACCTCAACCCCCATACAGGTAACTTTAACCAGTGCAGCTAGTGGATGGGAAAAGAAATCTGATAAAGTATCAGTAACACCATCAGTTAGTTCATTGTTCATTCAACAAATGTCAGAGGAGAAATCATACAAACCTAACCTAGATATCAAGACCAGAAGTGTACAGAATGTATCTGGACCACGTAAATCTGGTCTCATAACTATCTCCAAAGTTACAAAGAATGTTTCTCCTTCCACCGAGGCAGAGAATGTAAAAGGGACTGAATTACAAGCTCATTTTTCAGGCTCAGATACGCAGGATAAACCAGGAAAATCAGTATCTCGTTGCAGTTTACAGGCTGACAGTCTTGCTCAAAAGATACTTACAGTGAAATCTGCAGAATTGGTGGTTTCAAGAAAAGGAAAAGACATTGTGGTCACTAGGAAAAGTAATTTGGAGTCCTTGCAAACCACAGAAGACAAAATGTACAAGAGGAAACAAGAGGAACAGCTTGACTCAGAGACAACTCAAGCTGCAGGAGAAAAATTGACTGAAAGTGAAAGTGAAGGGAGACATGATGCCGAATCTTTATCCCAAGAGAGAGACAGGGACAGCTTAAAGCTGAAAATCAAAGATTTGGCCCCAGAGGAGTGTGTAGCTGTAAAAACTTTAGTTGGAATCTCAGAAAGAACCACAAAAATGGATAGTGTGTCCAGCAGCATTGGAGAATCTCATTTAACTTTAGAAAAGCCTTTAGATCATAGAAAGACAAAGTTGAGAGAAGAGTCTCACTCTGATGCATCCCCATCATGTAGCATGCCTCATAGAGACATCCAGACGAGTGTGTTGAAGGAAGAAGAGGGAAACAAGGTAAGCTCAGAAGCTGATGTCAGCAAGCTTCCTGCACTGGTGAAGAATGCTAGCAAAGTTAAAGTTCAAGATGTAGGGAACAAAAGTGAAAATATCAGCATTAGTTGGACAAGACAACGGCCTGAAGAGAAGATCAAACAGTATGGTGGGAAGATGAAGGAAGATAATATGAAATATAGGAAGCGCATTAGACAAAACCAAGATGAAAGGCAGAATGTTCTTCTGGGAAAGAGCAAAGAAGAGGGAAGTGCCAGAGGTAAGGAGATAGACTTACCAGTAGTTGCAGGGGAAGATGCAGGAGTCGATCTAGTCCAGCCACACAAATTCAAGCTAATCGGGATGAAGGAAGAAGAGGAACATCCACTCGATTGTGAAGAGATGTTCAGAAAAATCCGTCACAAAGAGAAAAAGAAGGACCAGAATAAAAAACTCTGGCAGATGGTGATGGCAGCTAAGGCAAGAGCCAAGAAAGAAGTGGAGAAGAAGGACAGTGATACCCCTTCTGACGGAGCTCAGGTCATGGCAGGTGATGCAGGAGTCTCTGCAGAAGAGCTGACAAAGGATCATGTTCTTACACTTTGGTCTGGTGAATCCAAGGAAACTTCCACCAAGAGAGAAAGGGGTTCTGCTGATCATCAAGGGAGTGAACTTGAGGAGAAACCTTTTTATGTTAAAAGAGCCAAGATTACACAGTGTGCAGGTGAGGAGAATAAAGCCGATGAAATAAGGAAAGTGGTTCCTGGTTTAGATCAATTGAAAAGTAGTTCAGCAAACACTCCGTGCAGAGTCCCAGATGATGCTGGAATGAGCAGCAGTGAAAGAACATTAATTCCAAAAGAGACGGAGGTAGTGAGTCTAGAAAGTGAAGTCAGTGAATCTCTGGACCCAGTGTCTGCAGCAGAGGTTGACCTCATGACAACTCTGGATCAGAATGCAGTCATGCGTGATGCTACAACTTTTGGTGACCTAAGCTATGATTATGATCTGCAGTGATTGGTACGAACCATTACTTAGATTTCTTCCTTTATTGAATTTAGAGTCAATTGTTTAGAAACTTGCTTAGAAATTTTTTAGGATGTCTAATAATTGCAAAAGCAGTTTTGGTAAGATACTGTTTATGATTTTTTTTTTTTTTTTTTTTTTTTTTTTTCTTCTTCTTCTTCTTCTTGTTCTTCTTTTTTTCATCTTCTCTCTTTCTCACTCTGTTTACTTTAATATTTGGCAGGTAGAGGCATGTAGTCATTTTTGATACTATATATTATTATTATTATTATTATTATTATTCTGATGCAAAAAAAAGTTATTAGATTTTGATTCTTGTATTTTTCAGGGAGACGAAAATGACAATGGATGTTCCTCCGATCATCGTTGTGTTAAATGCGACCGTAGGTTCATGACAGCTTCGGCTTTGTTGTCGCATGACAAGTTCTGCTCTCTGCTGCAGATGAGGCCCGACATCCCTCCAGAGAGTCCCCTCAATCCTCGCCTTCGGTCTGAGACTCCGGAGAAGAAGATAGCCATACAGATCAGAAAAGACTACAAGAAGACCATGGCCCAGTCCGGCTCTGGTGCAGCAGGATGGGGAGATGAGGACAAGAGCCAGTCAGCCCCCTTTAGGGTGCCACACGTCCCCAAAGAGCTTCAGTTTCTGAAGGACCCTCAGAGCCCCAAAGAAACTCAGAATGCCAAGGAGACTCCCCCATCCAAAGACTCCAGAGACTCTAAGGGGCAGCAGCAAGAGCCCCTGCAGACCACAGCAGAGAGCCAGGAGCAAAAAGAGCCTCAGGCAGATACTGAGACTCTGGAGAAGAAGGAGCCTGAAAGTACAACAGGAGCAACTAACCAAAGCAAGATAGAAAATCTCCTTGCTCAGTTCTGTAACATGTCCCACCTCTCCTGCATCCCCTGTGAAAAGAGGTACCAGAGCATCACAACGCTGAAAAGGCATGCTTCACAGCACTTTGACTGGACCCGGTTTGCTTGTAAAATCTGTAAGTACAGAAGCTACCATAGGTATGAAGCAATGCGCCACTGCATTACTGAGCACCAAGCTAATGAGGATCATGTTGCAAAAATGATCAAGGAAGATGAGTATATTGGCCCATTAAAATATTACATAACACCCACAACTGTACCGAGAACACAGAGCCCGAGTGGACTGAGTGCTCCAGAGGTGTCTGAGAAGAGCAATGATAATGCTTCTGGCCTTGATACTAGACATTCTAAAGAGAATAATGACCAGTTAGTTAAGAGTGAAAAGGAAGATGATCAAGTTCCTAACAAGCCTGAAAAGAATGATACTGAATGCACAGATGAGGAGAGAACAGAGAAGTTGGTAAAAGTAAAAGAGGAAATGGAAGTTGTGCAAAGTTTGAAAGTGAATGAAAGTAAAAGTGATAGTATGAGTGACCAGGCAAAACCCTCATTAGAATCAGCAACACCTTTATTAGAATCTTCTTTGTTGAAACCTTCAAGAACAGAACTAAAAGAAAAAGATACAAAAGACTCTGTAAAGAATCAGGAGAGTACAAAGGATTTGGATGTAGAAGAATCACTACCAACCAGAGAGGAGGTAAAGGGAAAATTTGAAGGGAAGGAAGAGGTACAAAATGCTGTTAAGGTAATGAAGATCAATAAAGCAAATACATTGGCTCTAAAGCAGTACCCACTGAGAGATCAAAAGGAGTCCAGTCAGTCCACAACTCTAGTGTCCAGTGACTCTGAAGAAGGAAGGTCTGAAAGGCCTCAGAGAACACGAAGGAGTGTGGAGCAGAAAGACTTCATATATGATGTGAAGCGCTCCAATTCTGTGAAGTCTGAGAATGAAAAATCTGACAGTAAAAAAGCCATTGTCCAGAAGCAGACTCAGGAATGTGGGGAAGAACAGAGAAGCAGGTCAAGAAAGCGTAGTCTGTCTTCAAGGTTTGAGGTGGTCTCCAAGAGAGGGAGAGTCAGTGAGGATTCACCACCAGAACCCTGCAATGGCAGTGCATCCCAGTTGGCTATACTTGATATTGAAGTTCCTATTCATCACACTGTTTCTCTAAGAAATGGAAAAAATGATGCAGAACCAAAGTTAACTCTGCAGGGATCACCACTAGCAAAGAGGAGTAGGAGTACAGATAATGGATCCACAAGAAGCACGGACTCCCAAAGTCCAGAAAGTGAAAGTCCTACAAGTGTGGATGGTACAGAGATGCCAGTTAACAGTGACGTCAAGGAGGAGTCAGCTGGGGATGATGAGCACCTTGCTAAAGTCAGCTCTTTGAGAACATCCTCTGAGAAGAGAAGAGAAACTGAAGTCGGAGTGAGAACAAAGGAAGAGCCCTTTTCCAAGTCTGTGGAAGAGGAAGCAAAACGAGCAAAGTCAAAGGCAGTTTCAGGAAGCGAAGAAAACAGTAAAGATGATCACCCAACAGAAGCAACACTTCTAAGCAGACGGGACAAGAGTGGCAGCAGTGCAGCAAAGGAGAAAGTCTCTGAGAAGTGTGAAGCTTCTCCCAAAAGCCTAGACGACAAAGAGATATCACAGATTCCACTTGACACTATCCCTTTGCCTAATAACGACAGCAGTGAAAATCAGATTCAGGACAAGAACAATAGCTCATACTCTCTTGAGAATGGGGATTGCGAACCCGTAGAGAAGAGGGTAGAGAAAAAGGGTGCTAGTATGCTTAATGATACCTCTCACAGTGACACTGATTCCTGTCACCCAACCCAGAAGGAATTTGAGAGAAAGTGGGATAAAAAAAGAGACGATGAACAGAAGAAACAGAAGCAGAAAGAGATTTTGGATTCAATGAGAGCAGTGTATAACAAACCCAGAGATGATATACAGGATTAATTGTTAATACATTTTTTAGAGGTATAAAATTTGTTCCTGATATACCAGTGTGTTCTCTTGGGCTTTTTTTATGCAGGAAATTTTTTGATAATTGTACCTTTTATAATCCTTCTCAATTCTCAAGATGTAAGGAAGAATCGTTACAGCAATCAAATGGCAAGAATGTTAAATTTACGGGGAAATAAGTATGTATTGCACTGCGTTTATTTATTTATTTTTCTGTTTAAAGAAAGTGATTTAAAAGGTTTTGTTTTTTTTTGCTTGATTATTTTTGTATTTTATTTTATTTTATTTATTTATTTTTATGGGATGAGTCTTATTTATTTTGAGAGAGAGAGAGAGAGGGTTGTGTTCATATATATTTTTTTTTCTTTCTTTCTTTTTCTTTCTTTTCTCTCTCTGGATTTATAACATTATGATTTGTAAAGAACTCTATGGATAAACTACGATGGATTATGCATAATAGGTGAATTAATTCCTGTATTAATTCCTGTTTCTGTGATTCTGTATTTTATGCATGTAACTATTCTTAGTCCAAAGATTTGCTTACAAAAATTTTATATGAACAAGTCCAAAGTGAAGAGAAAAGTCGTCATGGTTTCGTTAATGCTACTGAGAAACTTGGATTCCATCTCGTACTATGTGAAATGCATACCTTTTTTCTGTTATTATTATATTTAATTTATTTATTGTTATTATTTTTTACAAGATAAAACTGTGATTGGGAGGATGTACATATGTGTATATCCACTGTTAATTTCCCCCCCCCCCCCCTACACCCCACCCCTTTTTTTACATAGCTAAAATTGTACATAAATTGCAATTTTTGAAATATTGACTATTTTGCTAGTGCTCCTCATTATTTTTTAAAAAAAAGAATATGAATTCCAATAGTGATAGAAGTATCTTTATTTTCACTATTCTGTGGGTATTTGTTATTGGAATTATGAAAAAAAAAAAACAAAAAAAAAACATAAAAGATAAACATGCCTACAAGTACAACTTCTGTATGAATCCTTGTAAATATGCCATTCTGTATATGGAATTCGTTAACATGAATGAAGATACTGTAAATTGCTACATGGTGCTATGCTTTAACCTTTTGATTATGATGGAAAGAGGTGAATAAGTGACTTAAAATAAAGAAGAAGGAAAAAAAAAAAGTGTGCGAGGGTTATTATTTCAAAGAAAAAATAATAATGTATAAAAAGCAGTTTCATTTTTAATATTTGTATTTTCCTCTTCATCTTCTTCAAAGGTATAGTCAACTGAAAATTCACTATTTAGCTTATAAAATGTATGGTCAGTATTGAATAACATAAAGCAATGAATTATTTTTTTAATTACATATGAATAATATGGTACTGATATAAGATAATAAATATAAATGATAAAATTGTGAATTTGAGATTGGTTAACAGGCCATACAAGATCAAATTCATGATATTGTAACGCAATTTTTTTATGTGGGCCTTCAAGATTTTGATTAAGTAAATCTTACAAATAAACAATTTTTTTTTTTTTTTTTTTTTTTTTAAGAAAATTATGGAACAGATTTTTATAATTTTGGAAGCCTTATTTATTCCTAACACACACACTCTAATACAGTGTTACCCTAATCATTAACTAAATCCTAACCCTTTTTGTTACTCTACATAGTACCATATGTCCTTTTTATGTCATATAGTATTTCCTTACCTGTGGGCTTTGCTCCTAAACCTCATGCTATCACTATATTTTGAATGTGCCGCTAATGACCTTAGATGTTGACGTGGCAAAAAAGTTTCAATAAATAAATAATCTCCCTTATTGCTCAACACATCACATCAGACAATCTAAATGTTCTACCCCATCATCTACTGCATCCTCTCCTACATCTACCTCTTCCTCTGCTCCGTAGATGACTATTCCCTAATCTTCCCCTCATAAAACCACCTTCATTTCTCAGACCTCCCCATCCACCTCCCTTTCAGAAACTCCTGAGGACATTCAAAACTTTCTATTTATAGCCCAGAAAAGATGCCTATCCCTCATCCACCCTCTCAATGTCCCAATCCCTCTACACTTATAGTTACTACAACATGATAAAGCATTGTGGCGAACAGGGTAAAAATCAGTTGATGATTAGGATGTGGCCCCCCTAATCCCTTGCTTGTTGTTATTGTGGGGGTCTTAGGAGACCAAGACTGGGGCCCAATGTAGGGGATCACCCCTACCTTGGGCTAATTTTGCATGGCCTTTTCTTCTCCCTCTTTCCTTTTCCTTCTCTTCTTCATCTCCTCCTTTCCACTTCCTAAGGTGTGAGAGGATGAAAGGCTGGCTTTGTGTCAGTCATGAACATCCTCAGGGAGCTATGAGCACAGTATTCCCTTGGTCAATCACCTAGCCCTTAACCCTCATGGGGACTCTGAGGGGTAGATCATTTCCTCTCCCTTGTTATGTCAAACTCACCATGGCCAATAATGAAGATTTTTTTTTTTTTTTTTTTTTTTTTTTTTTACGCTTAAGGGTATGAAGGCCTGCCCCTTCATCAACAAACCTATCTATATGATTTCATTGGTTTCCCGATCCCTGTCACTGATCACCATTACTAATACCCCTTCTTCGATGTTTGCTTTCAACTCT